GTCATAACAAATTCACATAGATAAGTAATCTAGGAAAGTGACATTGATTTCAAAAACTAAACTAGGCAATGCAATTGCAGATATACCAATCCAATGATACAAAAATCAAACCACTGGCATAGACATACCTTGAAGTAAAAAGGAGGATTCTGGTTTTTCAACCTATCAAGCAAATTGATCCAATCCACCCTAGCAGGCTGCAGAAGCTCTACCCACTCAGCCAACAGGGTTAACAAATTATCATCTCCATCCTCCTTCAACGACAAGATTTTCTCAGTAACTTGTTTGCATTTCCCAGTTATCGGCTTTGCCTCCTTCGGCCAAAGAACTTCTCCCGCCTCGTGAATCCTACCAGCCACTTGTTCCCATTTAGGATCAGATAGATCAAGCCCATATATCTTAAACCTCATTTTCCCTTTCCTCTTAGGAAGCCCAACAACCTTATTCCCAATCTTACTCTCCGCAACATTACCATCAACAAGAACACCACCATCAACATTTGTGTCAGTTTCCGTATCATTTTCGACTTGTTCTTCAATAACCTGCCCTTCTTTTCTCAATTTCTCCAAATCCTCGTTAAACTCATGTTCCTCCATTTTCTCACGCGCCCATTTAAACCTAAGCTCTCGAAGCAAATTTCCCCGAATACCAACCTCACCAGCAAACCTACACATCTCTTTCACTTCATCACACTGCAAAAACCCTTTCATTTTCTCCTTCTTCCTCTCTTTATTCATATCAACCAACACCTTATTACTAACCTCCCACACAGTCCTCCAAAGATCCTCACTGAAATCCACCGAATCAAAAGGCGAAAACGACGCCGTTGCACTACCATCCTTCTCCATTTCCGAAGCAACTCTTTCGACAATCACAAGTAGCATAGCATCAACTGTGCTTTTGTCGCTCTCAGGAAAAGATTCCTTAACCTTCTTACGCATTATCCAAGCGAATCGTGAGAGAAACTCGTTGGTGGTTTCGTCGTCATCGTCGTTCTGTTGAACGGCGTTGCTGTTTACGTGAGTTCGGAGTGATGGATCGATTAACGAGTTACCGAGTTCGGGGGAATGGGAATGAAGGTTACGGTGACCGGTGATTGATGAAACTGGTAGTCGTTTGAAGATGATTGTGGGAAATGGAGAATTTGAGATTGATTTAAGTTTGATGATTGCGTTTCTGGAAGAATGAAGAGAAAGTAAAGTTCTCCAACTCATTGTATCTGAATTTGAAAATGGTGGAAGTGAAGCATTAACTGGTTAGGGTTTTGGGTTTATGCTACGGTTCCGTCACTCACAGTGTTACGAAAAACGAACAAACGGAGAAGAAGAAGCACGAAACGAAATGAAATTATGGGCCTCGTTTGTGGGCCTATTCAGTACTAAGATAAGCCCAGTGTTATATGGAAACAAGTGAGTGGTGTGGTTAGCAAACTGTGGAGAATGAAGATTCCTCGACCAGCAGAAAGAAGCGGAACAAATTAAGAGAGATTTTTTCAATGGTATTTGTCCACCAAAGTTAGACAACATGTCATATTGTGATGGCACGCCACCATTGGGAATTCTTGATTAAGAAAGAGTGATGACAGTTAAAGATGTAAGATGTAATTAGGATATGAGTGATTTAAAAGTAATCAACTAAATTTTAAAATGGTCCGTTTTGGGACTTTTAAGTCGTTTATAGGTGATATAATTAAATTGTCAGTAAATTTGAATTATAGTGTTAATACACCTTTTAATTTCGATCAATTAGTTTTCTCGTTTTCATCAATCTTATGAGAATTTCAAATCTTGATTTATTTAATGGTTTAGTTAGAATATCTGCAAATTGTAACTCGGTCTTGCAGTATTCAATCTTTAATTTAACCTTACTAACTTGATCTCTTAGAAAAAGGTACTTTGTTTCTATATGTTTTCTCTTTACATGAATCATTGGATGATTAGTCAAATCAATTGTTAATTTGTTGTCAAATAACAGTTTGATCTTCACAACTTCACTAAACTCCAACTCTTCCGATAATATTTTTATCCACAATGTTTGGCAAGTTGCATAAGAGGTTGCAATATATTCTGCCTCACAAGATGATAGAGTCATTATTTCTTGCTTCTTTGTACTCCATGAAATTGGAATTGCTTCAATCATGAACAAGTTTCGTGTTGTACTTTTTTTGTCATCTTGATCTCCTCTCAAGTTAGGGTAGCAATATGCATTAGCCTCCCTTCTAGTGTTTTTCTCATATGGCATGCTTATACCATGATTTGTAGTGTTTTTAATTTAGCTAAGATTCTTTTAGCTACAAATATATGGCCTGATATTGGTTTCCTCAAGAATCTGCTTATCAAGTCAACATTAAGGTAAATGCAAGGTCTAGTGTTGCATAGGTATCTTAGTTAGTCAATTCTCTGCTTAAATAATATTGCACCTACTAGTTCATCATTGTTGTCTTTGTTCAAGTGTGTACTTGTCTCTATGTGCAGAGTTAAAAAATCTCATCTTGGATTTCTTTAAGATATCTTCTGCATATTTCTTCCGGTGCAAGAAACACTAGATTTTATGTTCCCATATTCCTTTGCTGGGTAGGCCAAGTTCCTTAGGTGTGACATCTTGATTTCATTCTTCATGCTAGACTTGAATTTTGTCATTGCAACTTCATCTGATCATGTTTCCAATAGGTCATCTACATATAAGTATAAAATGATTTGGTTATGATCACTTGAACGTTTCACATATGCTCTATGTTCAAATGTGCATTTCTTGAAACCTAACTTGTAAAGTAACAGTCAATTCTCTTGTTACATGATATAGGTGCTTGTTTTAATCCACACAGTGCTTTTCTCAACATGCACACCTTATCTTCTTTCCCTACGATTATACTCCAAATTTTACCCTTAAATTCTTTAATCTTCTGCATAACATTATAAGTCAATATAAAATTTTATAAACCATAAAAAAAATATCCAAAACCAAAGTATGCATGCATAATACCAAAAATAGAACACAAAATTCATAAATGAGTAATTCCCACTAAACTAAAGATTTCTCAAATTATAAAACACTCATGTGAGAAGTGTGCTCATGAAAGACGTTGAGTGGAAGATCTTTTGTAAGAGGATCTACTAACATGGAGTTTATGCCTGAGTGTTCTATGAAAGTCTCTCCACTTTGTACATTTTCCTTAACAACTAGCAACTTGTTGTCAATATGTTTTGACTTAGTCAAACTCCTATTATTATTAGAATATAGGACAGATGATTTATTGTCACACTATATCTTAAGTGGTCTTTCAATTTCTTCCATAATTTGTAGCCTAGTGACAAGGTTCCTCAACTAAATCCCTTGGTTTGATGCCTCAAAACATGTTATAAGTTTGACTGTCATAGTGGATGAAGCAATTTGTGGCAAGAAAATGCACCACCAGCCAACATGTAGATATAGTCTCGAGTGGATCTTTTACTATCTTGACATCCAACAAAATCAGAGTTACAATATCTAGTGATCTCCAACTGGTCTGACCTCCTATATGTGAGCATGTAATATTTTGTTCTCTTTAAGTACCTCATAACCCTTTTGTCTGCTTTCCAATGATCAATTCATGGATTGCTCAAATATCTACCTAACATCCCAATTATGAATACAATATCTGATAGACTTGGGCATACATTATACTCCCTACAACTGACGCAAAAGGAGTATTTTGCATTTCTCGAATTTCTAAGTTTCCTTTTAGGCACTAACTGAGATTAAATTTGTCTCCCTTAATAGTTGGAGTATCTCATGGTTTACATTCCTACATGTCAAATCTTTCAAGTGCCTTTTAAATATAGCTCTTTTGTGACAATTCTAGAATATCTTGAGATTGAGATCGGTGTATCTGAATTCCTAATACAAAGGAGGCTTCACCAAGATCTCTCATTTTGAATTTTCTTGATAGAAATTTCTTGGTTTCGTGCATCATGCCTATATCGTTAGTGACAAGTAGTATTTCATCAACATTCAAGACCAAAAAAATATACTTAATCCCATTGAATTTGTGATACACACAATCCTCAACAACATTCACCTCAAAACTAAATGAGGGAATTATTTCATGAAACTTATGATACCATTGATAAGACACCTTCTTTAGTCCATAAATAAATATTTTTCAATTTACAAACCATATTACTTGAGTCTCCTAACACAAAATTTTATGATTGCACCGTATAGATTGTTTCATCAAGAGAAGTATAAGAGAAATGGCATAATTGAAAAAATACTATAAGAAAGGTTATTAAGGACATAATACTATAAGAGAAAGACATAATACTATGAGTATCTTTATTGTTAGACCCTTGTTAAAAAATATTATAAGAGAAAGGACATAATTGACCAAGAGAAGTAGTTATAGAAGTTATAATTTTTAAATGAAAACAGTTAGTGGCAATTATTTGTTCTTATATGTATTTTTAATAAGTATAAATGGGGAAAGGGTTAAAAAGATGGGCATTGAAAATTTTATTAAGGGTTTTTAAGAAGGGAGTAAACCAAACTCTGAAATGTATCAATAATTTTCTACCATTATTTAACTATCAATAGAGTGTATATATCTATGTTGTCAACTCTAATTGAGAACCTTTTTCCAGAGTTTATTCTGTAATAAATATTTACTAGTCTCTAATATATCTCATTGATATTTGTTTCTATCGAATTATTGTGAATTTTTTTATCAAGTCTTAGTATAATTATCAACAATTCAACACTTAAAACAATAAAATGCATAAAAATTTTTATTTTTCCTTTATAAGAAAAATCAACATTTATGTTTCAATCTTTTTGTGACTAAAAGAACAATGAAACCAAGCAATGCAGCAAGTTTAGTTGTTTCCTTAACAACTTCTTCTCCTATAAATGGGTCCCAATGGTCAAGGGACATCAATAATACTTTAATAAATAATCATAAATTTCCAACTATTGGGTTTCTAGAATCTTTGACTTGTTCACACACATTCCAACCATTTTGAAACTCAAATAAATTTCTCATATTTAATCAACAAATACAAAAGGTATTCTAGAAGTTCCTTCTCCTTTTGGTCTGTGTTTTTGACTCTTTCAATTTGCTTCTTAAGAATTTCTCTCTCTTCTAAGAGAGTGATTGAAGACTTCATATCCAACATCAAAGCCACAATTTGAATAGCTTCAAGTTCTGAATTCTCTCTAGAAGTTGAATCTGGAAATTCCTTCTCAAGCAGTGAAAGTAAAACTTTCCTAGTCTCATCTTCAAATTCCAATGAAAATTTTGTAACCCTTAGATCCTCTAGTATTGTACATATCTGTAGGCCAATTTCAAAAAGTCACAATTATTATGCAATTGATAGACATACTTTGATAATAAGACCGTAATAAGTTGGCATCGATAATAAATTTATAAAAATAAAAAAATTAAACATAGTGTCGAGACATTGACATGTGTCGAATACTAGCCTTATCTTTGTTCAGAGGTGCAGTTGTTAAAATCATAAGTTGTTGTATGAATAAGTATCACTAACCTGAGAAGCTAATGGAATTGGAACAGTATTTTGAATCTGATCCAAGTACAGCTCAAAAGAGATTCTTATCTTTTCACATCTTGAAAGTATCCTCTGTGATGTTAGTGCCTAACCAGTTTGCAAATAAGAAGGTTATTATTTTGAATCGAACCAAACTAAAACTAACCTTTATAAAAGATAACTTTGTATATAAAACTAAGTAAGGTTTGAAGTTGAAGAAGAAGCTACCAAGTAGAGTTTACTGGACTCAGAACAGTGTTTGATAACTAACTTGGCTTTATCCAAAGTGAAGTGCAAAGAGCACAATGTTTGAATTGCTAAGGCACAATTTGGTCTAGCAGATTCAATGGATAAAATTATATGCAAAATTCTATCAATGAAACCTTGAAGCTCTATGCATATTGAACGGTGCACCTACACAAGAAGAAAATTGAGTCAAGTATAATAATTTGTTGGTGACGGTGGCATTAAAGTTGAGGACAAACCTTGACTTCACAACAGATTGGAGTTGTAGCAGTTGTGTTGACCAACATAACTAGAGATTGAAACTCAAGCTCAGCAAGAACAAGAATATAGGGATATACAGTAGTATCTTTTTCTCATATATAATAATATGATCTATCAATAATTGAGACAATTTTTCAACCTTCAGTAGGATTTATTTAATTATGTATATACACTAGTATCTTTTTTTTTTATCTAATAGGAATATATAGTAGCATCAATAGGATTTATTTAATTATGATATGCAATTACTCATACAATTTGTGATTTACATTGATCTAAAAGGATACTTCCAAACTAAAATGGCCAGCATAATTCTTTCAGAAAGAGTTGAAGTGGAGTTCCTAAAAGATCCTTAAGAATTACATAAGGTGGATAGAGAATTTTCCTAGAAAAGGTATCTGGACCACCCGTATGGGACAATAATATAGCAACATTGTTGATTTATAGGGGGAATTTTACTCCATACTCCTACAATTATATTCATACCGTTACACAAAAATTTTTTGGAACAAAATATCCTCGGATAAAAATTTATAATTTTTTTTCATTTGTTCACCGGAAAACTTTTTGCGAGTCTTCCAGTTCATATTTTTTTCATTTGTTCACCGGAAGACTTTTTGGAAGTCTTCCAGTTCACATTTTTTTCGTATGTTCACGGGAAGACTTTTTGCAAGTCTTCCGATTCATATTTGTTTTGGTTTGTTCACTAGAAGACATTTTTTGAAAGTCTTCCGATTCATATTTAAGATTTATTAATTTCATATAAACACCATTTTAGTAAATTTTTATCTATTATGCTTAATATATAAAAATTCTATAAATAAAAAAAATTTAGAAATATTTTCTATTACTATAATTATCATAATATTATCACATTAGTATTATATATTTAGAATTTGTAATAAATCTTACTAAACTTGCAAATTTACCGTATTCAATATATTTAATCAAATGAAAACATACGTGATAAATCAATAATGTATTTTAATTTAAAATAATCACAATAATATAACTTGCAAAAAAAACTAAATCGAACTTTCAATTAAATAAATCAACCAAATTAAAATATAAGTAATAATTTCACTTTATTTAATATTTTTAATATAATAAAAATATAAGATATAAATAAATAATATATTTTATTTAAACCAAGCACAGTATAGAACATGCAAAAAAGTTATAAATAAAAAAAGATCAAACAAAAATAAAAAACAAATAATAAATTATATTCTTAATTTTTTTTAGTTAAATAAAAATATGGGTAATAAAACAATATTGTTTTATATTTATAATTATGTGAGTTTTAAAGTATAGATTAAATATTATATTCATAGTAGTATTCAAAATTAAATAATCAATAAAACTATATCAGTCCTATAAATAAAACACATCATTTGTGTGTTCTATTATTATGATTATTTTAAATAAAATACATTATTAATTTATTACTTATATTATTTTGCAAGTTAACTTATTGTGATCATTTTAAGTTAAAATACATTATTGATTTATCACATATGTTTTCATTTGATTAAATATATTGAATAATGTAAACTTATATCCTATATTTAAATTTATTTTATTTATTAATTTTCAAGATTAATAAGATATTTGAAAAAATTCTACGATTATGATCATTTAAAATAAATGATTTTAATCTCATAGTATTCTAATAATTATAGCAAATAGAAAATATTATGAAAATGATTTTCTATTTATAGAATTTTTATATATTAAGTATAATAGAGAAAAATTCACTAAATTGGTCTTTTATAAAATTAATAAATCTTAAATATTAATTAAAAATTAAAAAAAAACATAAACCGAAAGACTTCCAAAAGGTTATCTGGTGAACAAACGAAAAAAATATGAACCGGAAGACTTGTAAAAAATCTTCCGATGGACAAACAAAAAAAATTATAAATTTTTATACAAGGATATTTTGGTCCAAAAAATTTTAGTGTAGGGGTATGGATATAATTGTAGGGGTATGGGGTAAAACTTTCTTGATAGGGGTGGCAAAATGGACGGCCCATCTCGTTTAGATTCACCCAATTTAAGTCAGTTTAAATGCAGAGTGGAGTAGAATGAATCAACTTAGGCGTCCGAGCTCAAAAGTTAAGTATGTCCTATTTACTAACGAGTTAGCGCCAATTTCTTTTTACAATTTAATTTACTACATAATTTACAAATTTGTTAATCATTAACAAAGAGACCTACAAATTTTATTCTTTATGTTTTGCAATAAAGACTTTTCTACTGATCGAAAATAAAAAACGAAACAGAAATTTTTCAAAATGAAGTGTTTATGGTTATGTGAAAAATAAATATTAGAATTTGAAGAAATGATAATTGTTTTAAAAGTATGTCTACTACATACTACATTAATATTGTTTTAATTTCAAATAAAAAAATAATATTTTTAAAAAAAAAAACCGTGAACAAAAATATTGTTTTAATTTCAAATAAAAAAATAATATTTTTAAAAAAAAAACCGTGAACAAAACTCGCTCCGCCCCGCTCTCAACCCGTTTTAAAAGTGAATTAGACATGACATATCAACTTGAGATACTAAACCAAAGACCTCGTCCCAACCCGTCAAAAATGATAGGTTAAATGGACAGATCCGATGGACGCAATCCGTTTTGCCATCCCTAATTGATTAACATTTGAATCGTTTTCCTTTGTTTTCCTTCAAGCGTGGAAAAAGATTCTGTCCATACTCTAAATAATTCCATATGGATGAATAAGATTTAATAATGTTCACAACAGTTTCCTTGAAATATTAATAGAACGCGTGTTTCATTAAAAGGTTCCTCTTATATATCATGTGTAGTGTCTTGTTAAACCCTTATCTGGAAGAAGAAAAAAAGTGTCAAAACTATAGTGAAGAAAAAAAAGGAGTGCAAAACATGTTAATTTCTCAGCCTCATGCATACAATTATCTCTAAGACTTGACAAGAGACACTGTCGGGGACCAGTATGCTACATTAGCATAAACTGAATTACAAATACAGATCTATAACTACTACATTAAGCACATAAACAGCTGTTGGTATTCCCGGGTCATAAAACATTCAGCCACGTCACTTTCAACAACAGATTTGCCATAAAATTGTCTTTTTACTATTACAATAGGAGATGCCATCACCGGTTATAAATACAACTGATACTAGCTGTTGTGACAGTAACTATAAAACTGCAGCCAAGCAATAGAGATTGCTGTCAATATTAAGGCAACCTTAGGCACTGTCAGATTCATTTCCAGAATCAATATTCATAGGTTGAGGATTCTTGTAGCCACTAATCTCATCCTTGTAACGCTTTTTGTCCGCTTGGGCTTTTGCCTCGTAAGGTTCCTTCTCCTCCGCTGTGTATTGAACATGCAAAGAAACAGAAACCTTAGTTACGAACACATAAATATAATAAGCTTTGATCATGATCATAAATGACACTAGATGGAACTTCAATGAAATTAAATTAATGGCAATCAGATATACCTGACAGGTTTTTCCACTTCTCTCCCAGTACTCTTCCCACATCGGTAAATGAAATTCCAGGATTAGTTTTCTTTAGATTCTGTCATTAAAAGAACAGTTATGTTAATTTCTTAAATCCAATAGAGGTATAAACAATTTGGCTAAATGCAATATTTCGCTATATTGAGTTCAGAACATGAGCACGAGCCCAGTTATATTAGTGTGGGGCCTTCTAGGCTCTCGTCCATAAATTAGAGGTGTGTCAGTTAATTTTATACTATCTATAAATTGGCATTATAAAGGTGTTCTTTAAAATCCAACCATAGAAACTTGACTCACCCCTTAATATGGTAGAGCAAAATAAGGTATACAAACATTCACCAATATGTATGACATGAAACGAACCTCTCTTTCCATCTGAGAAAAGAACATGAAACCAGACAGTGCCCTCTTGGGTGCATTCGGGTCTTTTTTCTTCTTCTGTTTCTTCTTTACTCCATCAACATCAGCATCTTTGGATTTCTTCTTAGAAGTAGATGCCTTAGAAGACAAGTCCTTCTTTGGTTCCTTCTTGGCAGGCTTCTGAAAATTAGTCGCCGTTAAGGTGTTAGGGAGACCAAAGATTTGAAGAGTAGGGGTGAGGTATCACATGATAATAAAAGCAAATCACTTACCTCTGTCTCACCGCCACTTTGGCTAGCATCAGAGTCATCTGCACCAGAATCATCAGTAGGAGAACCTCCATCATCCTTATCGATAACAAAATCTGAATCCTGTAGACATTTTACACCAATTCATAATGTATATACAAAAGCAAGCAAATTCTAGATGGAAATCCTGCCCCGTGCAGCCCCCATAAGACATACTCGCATGACATGCATATAAATACAGAGCCAATGCACAGAACCACAACAGTAAGCAGTTTAGAGAGCATAACAAACTGAAAGGCATAGATGGATTAAGAAGAGAAAGTTTGACTGCAATAACAACAGACAAGCAAGTTTAAGAATGAAATTTAATTAGACTTCAAAGCCCACGTAAGTACTTTCATGCTCATATATATTCAGATGTTGGATATAAATAAATACTTTTACCTCAATCACTTAAGTTAGAACACAAATATACCAAAAGCAACTCATGATAAAAAAAAGAGGATAAAAACAATATCAAGTACAGATTAGGCACCTCCTCGTCACTTTCATCTCCACCAGCTTCATTTCTGATGCGCTCAAGATGTGGATCAACAGCGTCATCGTCATCATTCTCAAGAACCTTAGCCACGCCACCAACAGCTGGTTGGGCATCAGCTAAATTCATAATTTTCAAGCCCTTTGAACTGCATGTGCAGACCAAAAGTGAATTGCTTGTGTAACAAACAATTAGTTGTAATAAATTTTGGCAGTGAGCTGATATTTACCTGATAAAACCATACAAATTGTGGTACTCATTTCTCTGAATATTACGGAAGAGATGCTCTTGCTCAGATTTTAGTCTGATAAGAAGGTCAAAATAATGCATATTTGAACCACCAGCAGCATGTCTCTCAA